TTCAAAAAAAAAAAAAAAAGTATGTTCATCCCACCCGGAAATTAGTGTAGGTTAGAATGGGCTTGGGCTGAATTAAAAAAAAAAAGTTTTTTTAATATACAACAATCAGTTGGTATCATCGTACAGAAATGAATCCTAAAATCGTGGATTACGTAAACCAACAATGTTACGAGAGAAAAATAGAAAATTCCGACGCCCAAAGGAGTTTTCTGTAGCCGACAGCAATTTTTCGCAAAAATCCAATCTCACCCCTAGGGACTCTCCTTTAGCTTTCGCTGGGACTTCGTTCCCCTCGTCAGCGGGTCCAGCCTGCTTTTCTTTCTCCCGGAAACCATCGTTCTCATCTTTTTAACCTCTTTTCGCTACCTTCGATCTCTTCATCTTTTTTCCCCCCTTTTAACTCACTTTTCTGGAGCTTTTTTTTTCCCCTAGCCGGCTCGAGTTTACTTTACGACTCTTGCCGCTCGACTTACTAACCATAATGACTGTGCACCGCGCGAAGACGGATTTAACGACAATCTCCCAGTTGCAGCTGCAGCTGCGGTTGCACTTGCAATTCCGATGCTCCAGGCTGCCGCGCAAGACGGCGGTGCAACAGTTTTCATTATCGAATCCCGTATAGTTTTTACATAAAAATTCGATACTAATCGATTGTCGATCTATCGATTGTTATTATGTCGTAGAGTTTTTATTTATTTTTTATTTTTTGTTTTTCGCCAATTCCCATAATTCGCAATTCGTTTACTTACGAGGATAAAATTTTTGCGAATTTTCGCCAATATTAATTTTCCCTGGGAAATATTATTACGGCTCGTTACGTTATTCGCCTGGCGCAACGGTACCTGCCTCTTGGCACTAATTATTCTTATGACAAAATACGTAGCCAGTGAAGTTTGTGCAATGATAATAAAGAAATCTTCAATAACGACAAACTTCACTACGTTAATGTTTTACGCAAAGCTGTCATTCGGTCGGACCATTAACCGTATAATGGAATTTTATACATAGGGATTCGCTGCCAGGTAAATTCTTTGCTTCGCGTTCCAAGAAAAAACTGAATGACGAGCGAAATAGCGAAGAGAGCAAATTGAGATGGGAAAAAAAATAAAAGAGGAAACACAGTAAATTGAGGGTGGGAGAGGGGGGGGGTAAAGAGAGAGCAAGATAACCTCCTCGAGGCTTTCATTTTATTTTTATTTTTTGAGCGTCTTTGAAAGAACATAAATTCTTTGATCTGACAGGTGGATGCATGTGCCCTAATGATAGGGGGTAGGAGTGGGGTGGGGTGGAGGGGGATAAAGTGAAATGAAAAATGCGAGACTAATGCAAAATTATAATAAAGAGTAGGTGGGAAATTTCGAAAGTGAAAAAAAAAGAGACGGCTCGACGCTCGTCGCTGAAGGTTGGAAATTCTCGTGAATTTTGAAAAGGGGTGGTGGGGAAGGTAGTTGAAAAATTGGCAAATGAGGAAAATTAAAATTTTTGAGGAGCGATGGGTAATTTATCGTAGGAGAAGGGATTTTCAAGCGTAACTGGAAACGCAAAATTTTTGCAATATATCCGGATAAAATTTTTCCAAAAAAATTTTTTTTTTTTTTGAAAAATTAAAAAAAGTGTCAAATTGTTTTGCTGAGCGATTTCCGTCAAACTTTGGGTTAGCATTCGCCTTTCTAATTAACCCATTAATAATCAAGTAGTCTCTCGCAGCTGCGATCGTTTTCGGGTTTGGCATTCTTAATCAGCTGTGTTATTACGCAAGCGTTACGTATCGGCTACGCGCGTCCATCCTGAAATGTGCAGCTGCGTTAGGAAGACCCGTGAGCCAGGGTCTTTCGTCTTGAGGATGAAGCCGCTTCCTGAATTCCAATTGGCTGAGGACTCTGGGCTCGGGTCGCCGTGCACATGCGACGTCCGTCGCACCGGGTCGTCGTGGCTCTCAAGGGTTCCTGTGTCACGTTACGAGCTGCTTCTGCGCCCGTAAACCATCCCTTGCATCTCTGGTCCATAGCGGAAACTCTCGGGAGCTCGTTAAAACTTGATACTCGGCCAGCCTCTCCTCTCCTCTCCTCTCCTTCTCCCTCGTGTTTCTCTTTCGGATACACAGGCTTCACGATCCACGGAGAGTCCGTTGCAGCTGCAAGCTCCGAGGGTAGTTGCCACTTATTTTCTCTTTTTTTTTTGTTTTTCCTCCTTTTCATACATTTCTCCCAGTTAACCCTCTCGCGTTTTCTCGTGAAATTATCCATTTTTCTTTTTGACATCATTACGCTCATTTTCATCCGCACGCGAATGCAGCTGCGTACATGGGACAAATATTTTTTTTCGAACGGATCCGAATCGCTTTGTCGATATTATCGGGGTGACATTTTTTTTGGGGGATTTTCTTCGTTTCTGGGATTTTTGTATTTTATAAGCTTCGACTCATCAAGTGAAATTTCACGTATAAAAATCACATCTTTTCACGACACCCATAGGTACTGAAATATATATAACGATCGCAAGTCAAAGCCTTATGTGGCGATGGCAGCTCTGGTGAAACGCTCTGTAAAATATATATATATATATATATAACCCAGAGACCCTTGTAGTATTGCCCAGCAGTACATTGTCTATATAAAGATACAGCGTACCACCCGGACTGCATTTGCCTCCGCCATAAATAATAATAAGATCCAACAGTAGTTGCCAGGTGATATTTAACAATTAGTTTTCAGCCCGACAAAGAACAATATCAAATTTTTTAATATTTTGAATTTTCGCTCCATTATAGCTGTATGGTAATATGTCCGTGACGTCACGTACCGTAATGACAGTCTACGTTAATTTCACGGAGTACATCGCCAATTAATGTCAGGGTCACTTCGTACGTTTATCATGATTCGTCCCGTGTCAAATTAATCATCAGGATATTTTTTTGATTACGATCCCATCATGGATTTTTTAGTATCATATCCTTTTTTACTCAATCGTCGGGCCGACTCGATGATATTTTCCTGCTGATGGATCCCGATAGGGTCAGATTACGGGGGGTCAGTCGATTTCCTCTAATGATAACGTTGAATTTCTGTAAGACCGTACGTGTACCCAAGCGAAGTCCAGTTGAAGAAGCTGAGGAATCTCGGTAAGCGGGATTTGTCAGGAGAGAAGGAAACGAAGAAAAGTGGTAAAAAAGGAGGTCAAAGGGGACAGGAAAAGAAATGGAATTGGCAGCTGACGTGACAGAAACTTTTTGGCACTTTGGGGAAAACCGCTAATACGAAGCTGCAGGAGAAGAAGAGGGGAAAGGAGAAAAATGGATGATTCGTAAGAGAGAAAGAGAAGCCGGAGCTGTTGGGCCGTGAAGTTGAGGCAAGAAAAGGACGCGATAAGAAGAATAAACGAGAGACGACGAGGTGGAAGGTGGAGGTAATACAGGTTGAAGTGGAAGTGGGAGGCAAAGGGGGGGGGCCTTACTGGGGCCCAGTCTGTCATGAAGGTTCAGTCAGTGAAACTCCGCGTAACGCGACGCACACTTCACTCCGTCGATATTCGATTATCGATTGTTTCGATACGAAAAAACAATTTTTTGAGAGGCAATTTGATTTTTATTTTGAAAATTTTTTTTTCCCGTGATTGCATCTCGTTCCGTGTGCTCGGTTGATTTTGCCTTAAATTTTTCAAGCCCAGCGAGTAATCAGCGGTGCGCGTGATTTTGAGTAAATGGTAATTTATTGTTTTTTTCAAAATTTAGTGAATTTGACGCGTCTCTTTTTTATCTCATGTGTCCTTTGGTGCTCTTTCGTTGCGTCTGGTGAATTTTTTTTTCCAAGTTATGTGGCCACCTGTGGTACGACGCGAATTTCTGTCGCTTGTGTGGAGATTTAATGAAGGTGCCTTTTTTTGTTTGGCCATTTTCATTCTTAATCGTCCGGACGCGATTGACAGTTTTTAAACAATTTACATGGATAATTTCACGTCGATTCCCGCTACGTTATTTATCGTCGAGATTGAACGGGGATGACGTTTTCCTTTTTTTTCTTTCGTATTGTCAATCGATCGTGCCGATCTATCGGGAATGCCGTGGAATTGCGCAAAAATTGTTAGGAAAAAAATACGTTGCAATATTATGAAATTTTCTTGCGACACTCGTCGCGCTGCTGTCGGTCGATTTCGCAATGCAGATCGCTTCCCTATCGACCGCGATTTATGAACGTCAAAGGCGATGATGCAAACGACAAATCGAAGACACCGAAATTCCATCGCGCGATACGTTCTCGCGCATCGAAGTTTTTGCTTGTCGAAGGAATTGCGAACCTTGCGACGAACGGATGATTTTTGAATTTGAAAAAAAATTTTTTTTCGGAAATTTTCTTTTTATCCCCTTTACTATTTTGACTTTTACATCTTAATCCTAAATATCACAGCTCGCTCTACCTCCGCTATCTTAACTTCATCTCGACACGGCAATTTGCTGTTTTCGGTGCAATCTCCATTTCCGCGGGTTAGTGCTTCGCCGAATGAAGTGCAATTACTCCGGTTGTAATTGTAATTGTAATTGACGTTGCGCAGTTACACGCGACACGTAATTTCTGGGCGATTAAACTCCCCGAGCATCACAACTATTGTTTCTCTAAGTTGGTACTCGGAATTACGTTACCTCATGCTGACGTTAGGTACCTTTAAGATGGCAATACGCGTTTCCACGGTTTCTCAGGATTTCCTACGGCAATGCGAGAGTCAGAGGAAAAAAGGGCGAGGACCGAAAAAAAATTTGAAAAAATTTTTTCCCACAAATTTACTTCATTGTGAAATTTCCAATTGACACTTTTCTACCTGGCTAAACCGCAATCGGCAGTAGTTATTTTTTTTTTTTTTTTTCGTTTTTTTTTTCC